CTGCGGCCCCGCTCTTACTCTGAAATGTTTCAAACTTTATTCAAATGTTTCTATGGTGTATTAAATGTTTTGGAAAGTGTAATAAGCATTTCCTAAAAGTTCAACATAAATCTATTCAATACTTTTGTGATACAACCCTGAGAAGGCAGCTAGCTAACTTTAGCAAAACTTCCCCGTTGTCAGGGAAACTGTAAACATCCTGTAACCATGGGCAGAATCTTCCTGTGATGATCCGATCAGAGCTGAAACAGCCTGTAGGAGACCCGGTGTTCCGGTACCAAAACTGCCTGACAGAGGGGCAAAAACTGTACAACATACTCAAAGTCCAACATTTTCTGTGCTGTACTTTGACTTTAGTGAACAAAAAACGCTCCTTAAACACTTTCTGAGCTGATGGACTGTGCACACAACCACCCAGTAATCCGTGCGCACGAATTGCAGAAACCGTGAGCACAGTTTAGTAATCCGTGCGCACAGTTTAGTAATCCGTGCTCACAGTTTAGTAATCCGTGCTCACAGTTTAGTAATCCGTTTGCTCAGTTTAGTAATCCGTGCTCACGGATTTCCAGTGGCAGTTTTTTTTTCTCCCACTGACCCCCCGCGGGCTCCGTACAATACACCTTTTAAAGCTTTGTTTAAACACTTTGTTTTAATACTGTAAATTAGTGCCATTTGTGTTTAAAATTGAAAGCATTAAAAGATTATACCTGTCCATGCCTATTTGTATTTGTTCTACTACAGTATGACGGTGGCCATGAAGACCCAGGCCCGGTGGTTGATGATGGAGCGCACAGATGTTTTCTACATTGGAGTAGCTGTCATGGTGTTGGGAACTGTACTGGTGGTCAGCAGCTTCCTCGCTCTGGGATTCACAGGAACCTTTTTAGGTAAGTATCAAGCACAATGTTGGTATCAGAGAAGCTCTAAATCGGAGACAATTTGCTACTGATGAGTCAATATGGTGATGACACATACTGAAATGCGTGACGGGAGAGTGGTTTTTGAAAGAGGTGGATGTTTGCTGGTTTGGGAAGTTATAATCAAAAGAAATTAATCACTTAAAAGAATTGTAATAAAATCACCTTTGGAAAATAAAATATATATAAAAATATTTTAAATACACATACTCATAAAATACAAACACATAAAAAAAATAAAATTTGTAAACCAAATACTGACTCACAAGCAGAAGGATGTAACAAATATTTTTAATAACAAACTATCCTTGTACAGCAGGAATCCAGTGGCCTTGCTGAGCTTCTATGACAAAAAATGAATTCAGTTTTTAAAAAAAACTCAAGGGGGAAAAAACGGATATGACAAAAAACTGAAAAAAAAKCCAGCATATATTTTTATTAACGGAAAATATTAACTGGCACCATGCAGGTGAAGTAGTTGGCATAGTAATGTGAAAAGTAGAATGAACAGCCACCATGGAGAGAAAAAATTCATCCATGTGGTGTGTTTAGTAATTAATAATAATAGATTTTTAGCTATCTTTTTACAGGCTGGTTAGGGACATTGTTACACATCCTTTCACATGTACAACATTCAAATTTCGTGCAGCTAGCACTTTCCTTTCTCAAGTTATGACTTAAATTAATCTTAAAAAAAGTTACTTCCTGCCCGACTCGACCAAGCTACTCCCCACTGCCTCCAGCCTCGCTCGTTCCCCACCGTCAATCCGATCAATCATGTCTTGGGCCGTCTCTGCCCACATCAATACCTCCACCAATCATGAGCAGGGACGTCTCCGCCAACTTTAAGACCTCTGCCAATCACGAGCAGGGACGTCTCTGCCCACATTAAGACCTTGGCCAAAGACGATTTGGGACGTCTCTGCCCACAGGACAACATGTTCTGCAGAGACCCCTTCTTGCTGGTACCAGGACCGGTACCGGACAGACAGCAGGAACAGCTGATCAATCATGTGAGGTAATTGTTCACTACGTCAGAACTTATTCTGCAAATGTGTTTCCATCTCTCCTTTTGCGCATTGTCTTTTTTGAAAAACCCAAAAACCAACTTAAGTAGGCGTATACATTTTTTGTGAGTTAGAGGAAGTTTTTTCAAATCATGCTGTTTCCATTCACCTTTTCTGTTGCGATACTTCAAARGTCCATGGGCTGCCACCTTATTGTGATGGAGAGGTTTGAGTGTCCCAATGATCCTAGGAGCTATGTTGTCGGGAGATTCATGCCCCCGATAGGGTCACCCAAGGCAAACAGGTCCTAGGTGAGGAATCAGACAAAGCYCAGCCCAAAGACTCCTATGATAAATACAATAAATGGAGTCAGTGTTCCCTCGCCCGGACCACTCTGGAACCAGGCCTGGAGGTGGGGCACGTTGGCGAGTTCCTGGTGGCCAGGCTTTCACCCATGGAGCCTGGTCGGGCACAGCCCGAAGAGGAGACATGGTCCCCTTTCCCATTGGCTCACCACCTGTGCGAGGGGCCGTAGGAGTCGGGTGCATTGTGTGTTGGGCAGTGGTCGAAAGCGAGGACCTTGGCGGTCTGATCCTTGACTACAGAAGCTAGCTCTAGGGTTGTGGAACATCACCTTTCAGGTGGGGAAGGAGCCTGAGCTGGTGTGTGAGGTTGAGAGTGATAAACACAAGTGATATCTAAGAATGACTGTTGTTAGCAAATCTTGTTCTGACTTTAATCATTCTATCTGCAGATGAACAGCATGTCATGAAAACCTAGGTCATTAAAGGATGTCATGAATTACTTTCTTAAACATAAAATTATTATTTCCATTACAAACTGATACTCAGACAAACCCATCCAGTGGTTCATAAGATGCTTTTCCCAACAGACAAACAAGGCTGGCTCTAACAACTGATGGTAAGTTCTTAAAACTAAGAGCTGCRTAAGTGCATCAACCCATGCCCTGAGTCCAGCATTTTAGAACATTGCGTCTAAAGATGATTTTTCTACAACTCTCATCCACCATGTATCCATTCCCATTTATCCTAGAGTCTAAGGCTTGAGAACATAGCCTGTAGATGTAGGGTGTAATTTGAGACGTTTCACTGGCTCTATAATAAACCCCTGGAGTCACAGTGATCTGATGATTTAAACTGATAGCACAGGGGCAAAGTATGAATGAAATTACAGATAATGTTGATTACATTGACCACCTGCTCTGGGATCCAAACACTGATTTCACTTCTCTAGCATTCAAACCACAACAGGGCAGTCCATGCTTGACAGGTAATCAAAGTCGCCCATTTTCATAATAGTTAAATAATGAAAGGACAGTGACGCAGGAAGAAAGAAAAAAAATGTTTTCAAATCTGAATGGGTAACCAGTCATCACTTTGGAGGTCAAAAAATGAGGTTATATTGTTGAAAGCTTGTTATAGCTAGTTTTTATTGAATGGCAAACAGATTTGTTTATATAATCTGTTTTCTGTCACACCTCACCTATGGTGTTTAAATAAGCATTCAAAATGAAACGTGTTATATAACTTAAACGTTAGCAGTCTCTCGACAGAAAATGGAGTCAGCAGCAACAAATGTGCAATTCAACGAGTCAACTTTATCTGGCAGCAGCATTTGTGTGTGTGTTGGGGGGGCTGATTATTTATACATGTGTGCACAGGGCAAAAGAAATGTTAGATTGTTTCATGTCCTGTTAAATGGATCACCCTACAGGGGGCAAAAAATATTTGAGTGCATCAGAGCACAGAGGAGGGAAACTAACCAAAAGTTCCTAGTGTCCTTGTTCAGCTGTRCCAAAAACCTCATAGGATGCATGCATTAAAACCTCAATGGATACTTTGCTTTGAGCAAGTTTACTATCCAGGGGTGCCTTTGGAAGGTTTTCAGAGGGCCATTGATAATCTTTGGGTGGCACACCAAACCCAAATCTACAACATCATTTTCAGAAGTTTTCTTAAAGGGATCCACGATTACTCGTAATAGTATACATACACTCACCGGCCACTTTATTAGGTATACCTGTCCAACTG